AGACTATGATATGCATTACAGAACATCCACTGAACAGATTGCAAAGACAGAACGAAATCTTACCCTTGTACGTAGCCAAGCAGATACAACCCATTACATGGCTGTTGTCAAATAAACAATACTTTGTCCTCAAGTAAGAAGACTTAACAGAATCATCTGTGGCTCACAGTTCACCCTAGACTTGCCTGGTAATTGGAGTGGCCATCTGTGTCAGTCAAGTGGCTTTATGCAAAGAAAAAAATTAACTTCTCATATTTTTAAGCCAGGAAGTGGTTTTGCAAGTTAAAACAAAGTGCTTAAGTTAGACGCCCACCTGCCCATGGAGACTGGAAGAGAAAGGTTCTATCTTCCTTGATAATTACATCTCAAAGGGATGGTTGTCAACCTTTGCCCATTTTTTAATTGGATGATCTATTTATTTGTTTTGTTATTAAGTTGAAGACGTTTCTTATATATTTTGGAATTATCATTTATTGAAAGAAGACATACAAGTGCCCAACAGGTATATCAAAAGATTCTCAATATCACTAATCGTCAAGAAAATGCAAATCAAAATCACAATGAAATATTACCTTAAATGTGTTAGGATGGCTATTAGTAAGAAAAAAAGATATGTGTTGGCAAGGATGTAGAGTAACTGAAACTTCTGTAAACTGTTGGTAGGAATGTAACATGGTGCAAAGGCTATGGAAAACAGTACTAAGTTTCCTACAAAAATAAAAAGTGGAACTACCATATGATGTAGCAATCCTATTTCTGGGTATTTATCCAAAAGAATTGAAATCAGGATCCTGAAGAGAGATTAGCACTCCTATTTTCACTGCAGCACTATTCCCAGTGACTAAGATGTGGAAAGAAACTTAATGTCCATCAGTGGATGAATAGATAAAGAAAATGTGACATATATATACAGTGAAATATTATTCAGCCTTTAAAAGAAAGGAAGCCTTGCAATATGTGATGGCATGGATGAATCTTGTGGACATCATCTCTCTATATAAGACTTACATAAGACAATATTTCTGAAAATGCTCTACAGTATAATTACTAGAGGCTCTTTCTACCAGAAGGACTGTGTAAAGTAGTGTGGATGAAGCCGGGACCTCCTCTTCTCTGCACATCCTCAAAAACAATGCTTACATTGCTTTTGATGTGAATGTTGACACCTGAAGTTGTGTGCCTTGGACGCGTTGGAAGTAGCCTTGGTGATCCATTTGAACTACAACTTAGAAAATGGGGATTATGCCGTGCAAATAGAAATTATCTTTCCGCCTTCCACAGCCAAGGAAAGAATGAGACAGTATAGACAAAGGGAAGACTGAGGAAGAGACAAGAAGATACAGCAGTCTTCTTTTGTCTATGGTTTTGCATTTTGTGATTTCATTTACCTGAAATCCATTTTATACTTGAATGGGCTCAGGAAAAGAAAAGGACTTAACAAGATCATGCAACTAGTTAGTATCAGAGCCAGAACTAAGGCCCAGGTCTCCTGAAATTCAAGTCAATGCCATTTTGATCACAGCATATGGCCCTGATTGAGGAGGAGTTTAGGCTGTTACTGTGGATCAGGGCAATCCTCACTATCTGTACTTGGATCTGACCTTCATTTACTGTGTGCCTTGACCCTTTAAGCTAAGTAGCAATTCTCTCACTACCTTTGTCACCACTGAAATGTACTTGCCTTCTTGTAAACTCACCAGCAAGAGAAGCATTATACGGAATAAACAGAAATGTTCACAGGATGCTTTGAGCACATAGTTTAGTGAAAAACATGACAAGAAAATCAGCAGTTATTAATACTTTTCATTAAATGCCATAAGGACCAGAAATTAACCTCTCAGAAGATGACATTACTTTTTTTAACGATGTGTGTTGGCAAAGATGTAGCAAAGGTAAGTCTGGACAGATGCGTCCAACATTGAACAGGGAGAAGGTGATTGAGGAGAGTAGAAAAAGGAAAAGCAGAATATTGATATTCTCGGCAGAGAGAAAGATAAGTTAAAAACCAGGTGAATGGAATACCACATTGTGTTCTGAAACTACACCTTATGCCTAGTGGGAGAAAGGGGATGTGCTGGAGAAAGATCAAAACTGAAAATAAGAAAGATAAATAGAAAGGAAGTTATAAAACAAAGTCTCCTGTGTTATTTTAAGTGTTTTGATTTAGTCTAAGATAGGAACCCACTGAGAAATTTACAAAGGAAGTGATGTGATTAAATTTGTCTTTTAGAAAGATGATTCTGGCAGAAGTATGGGAGATGGACTGGGTAGGAAGCCAGCGGAGTAAGGAAAATAATTTAAGAATCGACTGCAGAAACCTAAGGAGAAATGTGATGATCAGAAATAAGCTGAAGGCAGTGGGAATGGAGGGGAGGATGAGTGAGTTTCTGAGATATTTAGAAGGTAAAATGTCTAAACCAGGACCGATTAGACTTGTGTTTGGGGAGGAAAAATGGAATAAGGAACAGAAAGAAAGATAAGGCATACAGGTTTCCTCTTGGGTGATTAAATGGATGTAAATATCATTTTATTAAGAATGAAGTAAAATAGGAATAACACTTTGGAAGGCAAATATATTAAAGTGTAATTTTCAAAAAGGTAAAATAATGACTCTCATGCAAATGTAGATAAACATGTTCAAAGACTTTACTCAACTCATTAATTACTAAAGGTACCAGCAATATGCTTGACCTGGTCCAAAGACTATTTGAGAAGTCAGTTTATACAGAGAGATAACTTAATAGATTGCCATATTAGATACAAAACTGGTTAATATTCAATAACAGCATAAACTTTATCTCTCGAATTACTGGTTCCACTGGATGGAAATTCTTTGCATCTCTACCCAACATAAATCTCTAAAGTAACCTCTGCCCTTGCAAAATTGTAAAATAGCAGTGTAAATAGAAAGTCAAGATTAACACTGTACTGAAAGAATATCTAGTTATCTTGTTTGACTATTTAGAAAAAGCTGATGAGTTCGTATCTGACATGGTGAGTGTAAGGTACTTCTAAAATACTATAAAAAAGAGGCCCATGTTTTCATTGGTTTTCTGTTGCTATAATAGAACATTACAAGCTGGTTATTTTACTTTATAAAAGAAATGTATTTACTACAGTTCTGGGAGCTGGGAAGTCCAAGGTTGAGGGACCACATCTGGTGAGGGCCTTCTTACTGCTTCATAACATGGCAGAGAATATCACATGGTAAAAAAGCAAGCGCATGCCCTCTCAGCTCTCTCTTCCTCTTCTTATCAAGCCAACAGTCCCATCATGGGGCCTCAACCTGATGAGTTTATCTAATCCTAATTGTTTCCCTAAAACCTCACCTCTTGATACCATCACGATGGCAATTAAATTCCAACATGAATTTTGGAGGGCAAACTCAAACAGCAATCCATAAGGCAGTTGGATAAAGGAATCTAGAAATTGAGATTTTTGGAGTTCAAGGCTTACTTATAATAGGTGAAGGCATGAGGAAAGATAGCTTACCCAAGAAAGTATGCAGAATCAGAATCTGAAGTAAAAAAGAAACTTAGAAATATTAATATTTAAGGATTTATCAGGAAACAATGTATATAAAGGAGTAATATTGATTAGAAAAAAAAGTTGCAAATAGAAAACAAGTAATGTTTCTCTCAAGAAGGAGGGTGTAGTCTTCAGTAACATTTATCATAAAACATCCAATAGGAAGGAGAATGCAAAGATACCATTGTATTTGTGACTAGAAAACAATTACTGACCTTGATAAGAATATTTTTATTTGGGTGACAAGACTTTAAAATATTAATATGAAAAGTGAGGAAGAAATGATGAAAAGAAAGTAGGTAAATAATTTTTTTCTAGGATGGGGAAAGTTTCAGCATACAGTAAATATTTCCCTGGAAGGAAAGAATCAATAGAATGGGAAAGGCCATGGTTTAGGAGGGAAGGGATTGTATTAGTGTGTTCTCACATTGCTACAAGGACCTACCTGAGAGTGGGTAATTTATAGAGAAAAGAGGTTTAATTGGCTCATGGTTCCATAGGCTGTGCAGGAAGCATGGCTGTGGAGACCTCAGGAACTTTCATTCATGGCAGAAGGTGAAGGGGAAACAAGCACATATTCACATGGTCAGCAGAAGAGAGAGAGAAGGGGCAAGTGCTACACACTTTTAAACAACCAGATCTCATGAGAATTCACTCACTGTCATGAGAACAGCAAGGGGGATATCTGCTCCTATGATCCAGTCACCTCCCATGAGGTCCCAACTCCAACACTCAGGATCACAATTCAACAGGATATTTTGGTGGGGACACAGAGCCAAACCATATCAGGGATGATGATGGTGTGAAGTCACTGGAACTGGGATGAGATGAGATCCAAGGCACTTTTGGAGGGTGTAGCTAGCCATAAAGTAGTGTGACAGATATTTCTCTGAGATTAGAGGAAAGACAAAATGAAAAAAAGATAATGTGTGTCAATACAGTTATATTGGTCATCTGGAGAGGAAGTCAAGAAAAATTCTGCCTATTTCTTTCTCTCTTTTTCCTGCAGGGTCATTACTAAAAAGTGTGAGTCAGGAAAAGAATGGTAAAAATTTGAGAATTCTACTATGGGGAAAAAACAAGAGAAATAATTATTAATAGAAAATGCATTGCTAGTTGAATAGGTGAATAATGTTAGACTCATTTCAAGGTGCAGAACATGAATTGATAGTGGTTTAGTGATATTCTCCAACAGTGCTCAGCAATCTATACAAAAGAATAAAGGTATAAATATATGCTTTTATAAGTATTAAACAGTAAGAGGTAAATTCTTGCAGGAATCTCACCTCATGATGAAAAGAGCAGAAACCCTAAGTCACATGACTCTGCTGCTGCTGCTGCTAATGACTTTAAATATCACTTATAATACTGAGAAACATTTCCACAGCTGAGGTATGAAAATTCCTACTAACCTCAGTACCCAAAGTTGTTTCAAAAATGCATGATATGTATCTTTTTTATTCCCATTGCAGGCTTTCTCCACCACCACAACAGCATGTGGTCTGACAGAAGTAGCTTCACAGAAGAACCTAATTCCAACCTCTTGCAGGAAACTGCACTGCCCTCAACATCCAGCCCCTACACCTTGGTCCTCCAAACCCCCAAATTCTGCAGGAGAAAGGCAGCATGGTACATGGGAAAGAAGACCAGACTGAGTGATTTGGAATCTACATCCTAATGCTGCCACAAGCTGCATGCACAGAAAAAGACCTTAGGCACATCGTTTCATTTCTCTGTACACTGGTGTATCTACTATGTATGTATTAAAATATATAATACGGACCACAGTAAACTGAACAAAGCCTTAATTTTCTCCCAAGCTTTGACATTGCCAAGGGCAGTTAGGAGACTTTAAGATCAAGTTTAGGGGACAAGTTTGTTTCTAGTACTTTCAAAGGGCCCAAGCTAAGAGAGGAAGGACATCTCACTTTCTGGCTCTAAAAGCATGCTTCATCTCACAGTAGGATTCCCTCTATACCTCTGTTCATCCCTGTGTTCCTAACTAAATTCCAGAAAATCTTCCACAACACCAGAGTCCTATCTTTCTTCTTGAGACCTCCTTTGAAGAAATCAACTTGGAGGCTCCTCCTTAAATCCAGTTTCTTTCTCTACCCAAAATTTTGCATCTTTATAGAAAAAGAGATAAGTAAGATTCAGAGTCTCTTCTCCTAGCCATTGTGGGGGAGGAAAACACTATTTCTGCTGGCAGAAAACAATACAAATAATTTTTTTTAAATCATGGCATGTTTTTAAAGCTAATTAACAGCTGTAGTTTGCTTTGGAAGTTAAATGTTTTGTCAATAAACAGGGCTTGAGCACATGCAGTGCTCTCTTAGGCAGTATGTGGTTTCAGAGCATCTTGGACACATTTCTCCCCTGAGAAAGTGTTAGTATTAATAGGATGGGAGAAGTAAGATATATGCATTTCCAGAAGTGTATTATTTGGCTGCCTAATAAATTATGAGACAAAAAAAATGACAGGAAGAGAGGGACTTGAGGGAATTTGAGGGAAATCATAACTAAAAGTGAAAAGGAAAAAATTACACCAGACATGATAAACAGAAGTTGATTTTGTTCTGATGCTGTTGCCAGCATTAGGGGAGAAGGCACAAACTAAATCTGATACCTAGTGAGGCAGAGACAAAGGGCTAGGGTGGAAAAATTTTAAACCATCTGTGTTTACTAATTCGCCATACCGAAAGAAAAAAATGAACTTTCTCCTATTAAGATAGTTTTGCAATTTGGAAAAAGCCCCCATTCCAAGTTTCCTACCCTTCCCACCCACAGAAACAAGGAGACAGGGGCACAACCTTCCTTGATGTTTGCATTTCAGAGGTGGTTCTCAGGTCCTAGAGAAAGATATTCCTGAGTTGTAAAACTGGAAAGAAGCTGTGAGAAGATTTACATCTCAAGAAATAGAAAGAACTACCATACATTTTTCTAAAGCAAATATTCTTAAGGGAAGTCAAGGGCCTGGAGTCAGGAAGAAACCTATCTGGGCAAGCTGAGGGGAAAGTTAAGGCTATCTTGGTCACGAGAGAACAGAAAGAGCTGAGAGTATTTCATTTAAAGAATGATATAGTCCATTCTCACACTGCTATAAATAAATACCTGAGACTGGGTAATTTATACAGAAAAGAGGTTTGATTAGCTCATAGTTCTGCAGGCTATATAGGAAGCACAGCAACATCAGCTTCTGGGGAGGCCTCAGGGAGCTTTAACTCATGGAAGGCAAAGTGGGAGCAGGTATCTTACATGGTGTGAGCAGGAGGAACAGAGAAAAAGGGAGGTGCTAACACTTTCAAATGACCAGATCCTGTGAGAAGTCACTCACTATACAGTACCAAGGGGAGATGGTGCTAAACCATTAATGAAAACTCTACCCGGCAATCTAATCACCACCCACCAGGCCCCACCTCCAACAATGGGGATTACAATTTGACATGAGGTTTGGGCAGGGAAGCAGATCCAAACTGTCAGGCCTCTGAGCCCAAGCTAAGCCATCATGGCCCCTATGACCTGCACGTATATATCCAGATGGCCTGAAGCAAGTGAAGAATCACAAAAGAAGGGAAAATGGCTGGTTCCTGCCTTAACTGATGACATTACCTTGTGAAATTCCTTCTCCTGGCTCAGAAGCTCCCCCACTGAGCATCTTTTGACACCCATCCCTGCCTGCCAGAAAACAACCCCCTTTGACTGTAACTTTCCACTATCTACCCAAATCCTATAAAATGGCCCCACCCCATCTCCCTTTGCTGACTCTCTTTTCGGATTCAACCCACCTGCACCTAGGTGATTAAAAAGCTTTATTGCTCACACAAAACCTGTTTGGTGATCTCTTCACTCGGACGTGCGTGACATTTGGTGCCGTGACTCAGATCGGGGGACCTCCCTTGGGAGATCAATCCTCCGTCCTCCTGTTCTTTGTTCCATGAGAAAGATCCACCTACAACTTCTGGTCCTCAGACCAACCAGCCCAAGGAACATCTCACCAATTTTAAACCGGGTAAGCGGCCTCTTTTTACTCTCTTCTCCAACCTCTTTCACTACCCCTCAACTTCTTTCTCCTTTCAATCTTGGTGCCATCCTTCAATCTCTCCCTTCTCTTAATTTCAGTTCCTTTCCTTTTCTGGTAGAGACAGAGGAGACACATTTTGTTCATGAACCCAAAACTCCAGTGCCGGTCACGTACTTGGGAAGACAGTCTTCCTTTGGTGTTTAATAACTGTGGGGATGTCTGCTTGACTATTCACCCACATTTTAGAGGTGTCTAATCATCGTGGGGATGCCTGACTGGATCCTTCAACCTTAGTGGCAAGCACCATTTTCCTGGGTGACAAGCACCCCCCACCCCTTCTCTCTGTGTCTCTACCCTCTTTTTTCTCCAGGCTTGCCTCCTTCACTAGAGGCAACATTCCACCCTCCATTCCTCCTTCTTCTCCCTTAGCCTGTGTTCTCAAGAACTTGAAACCTCTTCAACTCACACCAGACCTAAAACCTAAATACCTTATTTTCTTTTGCAATGCCACTTTATCCCAATACAAACTCAACAATGGTTCCAAATAGCCAGAAAACAGCACTTTTGATTTTTCCATCCTACAAGATCTAGATAATTCTTGTCATAAAATGGGCAAATGGTCTGAGGTGCCTGATGTCCAGGCATTCTTTTACACATCGGTCCCTCCCTAGTCTCTGCTCCCAATGCAACTCATCCCAAATCCTCCTTCCTTCCCTCCCACCTTTCCCCTCAGTCCCAACCCCAAGCATCACTGAGTCTTTTCAAACTTCCTTTTCTACAGACCCATCTGACCTCTCCCCTCATCCCCAGGCTGCTCCTCCTCAGGTCACTCCCCACCAGGTTGAATCAGGCTCCAATTCTTCCTCAGGTTCTGCTCCCCCATAATCCTTCTATCGCCTTCCCTCCTCACACCTGGTCCAACTTACAGTTTCATTCCATGACTAGCCCTCCCCCACCTGCCCAGCAATTTCCTCTTAAAGAGGTGGCTGGAGCTAAAGGCATAGTCAAGGTTAATCTCCTTTTTCTTTATCTGACCTCCCCCAAATCAGTTAGTGTTTAGGCTATTTTTCATCAAATATAAAAACCTACCCCAGTTCATGGCTCATTTGGCAGCAACCCTGAGATGCTTTACAGCCTTAGATCCTGCAAGGTCAGAAGGCTGTCTTATTCTCAATATGCATTTTATTACCCAACATTAAATAAAGCTCCAAAAATTAGATTCCGGCCCTCAAATCCCACAACAGGACTTAATTAACCTCGCCTTCAAGCTGTACAATAATACAGAAGAGTTGTAATTACTTGCCTCCACTGTGAGAGAAACCCCAGCCACATCTCCAGCACACAAAAACTTCAAAACACCTAAGTCACAGTGGTCAGGCATTCCTTCAGGACCTCCTCCCCCAGGATCTTGTTTCAAGTGCCAGAAATCTGGCCACTAGGCCAAGGAATGCCTGCAGCCCAGGATTCTTCCTAAGCCTTGTGCCATCTGTGCGGGACCCCACTGGAAATCGGACTGTCCAACTCATCCAGCAGCCACTCCCAGAGCCCCTGGAACTCTGGCCCAAGGCTCTCTGACTGACTCTTTCCCAGATCTTCTTGGCTTAGTGGCTGAAGACTGACACTGCCCAATCACCTTGGAAGCCTCCTGGACCATCACAGATGCTTTCGGTAACTCTTACAGTGGAGGGTAAGTCCTTCCCTTCTTAATCAATATGGAGACTACCCACTCCACATTACCTTCTTTTCAAGGGCCTATTTTCTTTGCCTCCATAACTGTTGTGGTTACTGACAGCCAGGCTTCTAAACCTCTTAAAACTCCCCAACTCTGGTGCCAACTTGGACAATATTCTTTTATGCACTCCTTTTTAGTTATCCCCACCTGCCCTGTTCCCTTATAAGGCCGAGACATTCTAACTAGATTATCTGCTTCCTTGACTCTTCCTAGGCTACAGCCACACCTCATTGCCACGCTTTTCCCAAGTTCAAAGCCTCCTTGTCATCCTCCCCTTGTATCTCTCCACCTGAATCCAGAGGTATAGGACACCTCTACTCCCGCCCTGGCAACTGATCACATGCCCATTACTATCCCATTAAGACCTAATCACCCTTACCCCACTCAATGCCAATATCCCATCCCACAGCATGCTTTAAAAGGATTAAAGCCTTTTATCCTTTTATCGTTTGCCTGTTACAGCATGGCCTTTTAAAGCCTGTAAACTCTCCTTACAATTCCCCCATTTTACCTATCCAAAAACCAGACAAGTCTTACAGGTTAGGTCAGGATCTGTGCCTTATCAACCAAATTGTTTTGCCTATCCACACTGTGGTGCCAAACCCATATACTTTCCTATCCTCAATACCTCCCTCCACAACCCATCATTCTATTCTAGGTAAACCTAGCTGACCCCATAGATCCTAAATCCTTTCCCCATTCCCCTTTCCAGTCCTTAAAAAAGAGCTCCCACATTAGCTCTCCCTAACTCATCACCCCCTTTTCATTACACACAGCTGAAGTGCATCACTGTGTGGTCGGAGTTCTTACACAAGAGCCAGGACTGCGCCCTGTAGCCTTTCTGTCCAAACAACCTGACCTTACTGTTTTAGCCTAGCCCTCATGTCTGTGTGAGGTGGCTACTGCTTCTTTAATACTTTTAGAGGTCCTCAAAATCACAAACTATGCTCAACTCCCTCTCTACAGTTCTCACAACTTCCAAAATCTATTTTCTTCCTCACATCTGGCACATATACTTTCTGCCCCGCTCCACTACCTCTCAGCAAGCCAAACTCATTGCCTTAACTCGAGCCCTCACTCTTGCAAAAGGACTACACGTCAATATTTATACTGACTCTAAATATGCCTTCCATATTCTGCACCACCATGCTGTTATATGGGCAAAAAGAGGTTTCTTCACTACACAATGGTCCTTCATCATTAATGCCTCTTTAATAAATACTCTTCTCAAGGCTGCTTTACTTCCAAAGGAAGCTGGAGTCATTCACTGCAAGGACCATCAAAAGGCGTCAGATCCCATTGCTCAGGGCAATGCCTCTACTGATAAGGTAGCTAAAGAAGCAACTAGTGTTCCAATTTCTGTCCCTCACTGCCAGTTTTTCTCCTTCTCATCGGTTACTCCCACCTACTCCCCCACTGAAACTTCCACCTATCAATCTCTTCCCACACAAGGCAAATGGTTCTTAGACCAAAGAAAATATCTCCTTCCAGTCTCACAGGCCCATTCTATTCTTTCATCATTTCATAGCCTCTTCCATATAGGTTATAAACCACTAGCCCATCTCTTAAAACCTCTCATTTTCTTTCCATACTGGAAATCTGTCCTCAAGGAAATCACTTCTCAGTGTTCCATCTGCTAATCTACTACTACTCCTCAGGGATTGTTCAGGCCCCCTCCCTTACCTACACATCAAGCTTAGGGATTTGCCCCTATCCAGGATGGGCAAATTAATTTTACTCACATGCCCCAAGTCAGGAAACTAAAATCCCTCTTGGTCTGGGTAGACACTTTCACTGGATGGATAGAGGTCTTTCCCACAGGATCTGAGAAGGCCGTCACAGTAATTTCTTCCCTTCTGTCAGACGTAATTCATCAGTTTGACTTTCCCATCTCTATACAGTCCAACAATGGACAGGCCTTTACTGGTCAAATCACCCAAGCAGTTTTTCAGGCTCTTCGTATTCAGTGGAAACTTCATACCCCTTACCATTCTCAATCTTCAGGAAAAGTAAAACAGACCAATGGTCTTTTAAAGACACACCTCACCAAGCTCAGCATCCAACTTAAAAAGGACTGGACAGTACTTTTACCACTTGCCCTTCTCAGAATTTGGGCCTGTCCTCAGAATGCTACAGGGTACAGCCCATTTGAGCTCCTGTATGGACACTCCTTTTTATTAAGCCCCAGTCTCATTCCAGACACCAGCCCAACTTGGACTGCACTCCAAAAACTTATCATCCCTACTGTCTTCTGTCTAGTCATACTCCTATTCACTGTTCTCAACTACTCATAAATGCCCTGCTCTTGTTTACACTGCCGGTTTACACTGTTTCTCCAAGCCATCACAGCTGATATCTCCTGGTTCTATCACCAAACGGCCACTCTTAACTCCCTCTTAAAGTAAATAAATAATCTTTCCTGGCAGGGCACCCTCCATTACTTTCACCCTGATGACGTCCTAGTCTTTACTTTTATACTCACTCTTATTCTTGTTCCCATTTTTATGCCACCCTCTACCTCTCCCCAACTGTCTCCACCACACTATCAATCTCACTCACTCTCTCCTAGTTGTTTCGAATCCTTCTTTAACAAATAATTGCCGGCTTTGTATTTCTCTTTCCTCCAAAATCACTGAGGCCTCAACTTACTGCTATAAAAAGGGGACTCTGTATATTTTTAAATGAAAGGTATTGTTTTTACCTAAATCAATCTGGCCTAGTATATGACAACATAAAAATTCAAGGATAGAGCCTAAAAACTTGCCAACCAAGCAAGTAATTATGCTGAACCCCCTTGGGCACT